AAAACCCCAATTCTTAATCTTAAACATAAATCTCAAAGAATTAAACACGGTGGCTCTGATACCACTTGTTGAGAATTATTCGTGATTAATTCAAAGAGATTAAACTCAAGAATGCGGAAGCAATACCTGAATCCATGATGATTTGAGCATGGATCTGAATTAGGGTTGATCTTCTAATCTGAAAGGTTTCTCTTTTGAGAATTTTCTTTAGATGGGGATTAGAGAAATAGAAAACATAACATTTAGATTAGGGACATAACCCCTTTATATAGGTTTGCAATTTTCTAATTTAGCCCCTCATAAAATTAGAATTGCAGCCTGTTATCTGCACAATTAGCCCATGATTTTACTTAAATACTCATTAACCCAGATTGATTGATCACTTCATGCGGGTTAACCTTAAGGATAGCATTATACACTAATATAACATATATGCCCATAATTAGATTTAATCTAACAATCTCCCACTTGGGCACTATATGTTTCATTAAAACGTGTACAACCTTATGAGCTCAAAAATTGCTATCACAAATAAGGGTATTTCTGAACAATCTCGTTCATTGACAATATCAATATAGGATCAAAGCGGTCTTCGTCACATTTATCGTGACTAAACCCATCGATGGTCACATATACCAATACAATCAAATAACATAGATCAATCATGGATGTGTAGCATAAAAATTACATGTAATGTGATCAGTACATGTCTATTTTTAACTAGTCCTACCTTAAACTTTAGTGAGGTCAAAACCAAACATAATGAAACAGAGTGTCTTAACTGAATACTTTATTCTGATCAGACAATATAACCAAACACAAAGCACCAGAAAATTACAAACTCCCACTAAATCATGATATCCTCGAATAATACCACACCCATACGAGCAATGTGCTCATGAAAGACTTTAGGTAGCAACCCTTTAGTAAGAGGATCTGCTATCATAGAGTTTGTCTCAATGTGCTCTATGGATATCTATCCACTCTGTGCTCTTTCTTTCACAACCAGGAACTTAATATCAATATGTTTTGACTTAGTCGAGCTCCTGTTGTTATTGGAATACATTACTACTGATTTATTGTCATAAAATAACTTAAGTGGTCTTTCAACTTTATCCAGAATGCGTAGTCTAGTGACAAAATTTTACAACCATATTTCATGATTGGATGCCTCATAGCAAGCTACAAACTCTGCTGCTATAGTGGATGAAGTTACAAGTGTCTGTTTGATACTTTTCCATGACATAGCTCCTCCTGCTAACATATAAATGTAGCCTGATGTAGACTTTCTGCTATCTTGACATCCAGTAAAATTAGAATCAGAGTACCCAATGACCTCCTTTGGGTTTTGAAGTAAATATTCCAATGACAACAGGAGCTCGACTAATGATAAGAGCAAATTGAAAAATTCCTTTTCCAACATTTTCATGTTCATGCTTATAAACTTTTCCTAAAGTTTTACATTTTTTAGAATTTATTTACTATTTTTAAAGGCTCTTCAAAATTGGTTTTTACTATTCACAACAGACTGATATCACGTTATCAGTCGATTGATGAATGTGTTCAGTCAACTGAAGAATGTGTCTGGAATCATCAAAAAGTTTCTGTTTTATTTTGGTCGACTGATGATCCATCAGTCGACTGATAAAGTTCGTCAGTCGACTAATGAGCTGGTAAATGCCTACAACGGTCAGCTCATCAGTCGACTGATGAAACCCGTCAGTCGACTGACAGCCCAACAGCTAGTTTTTTCAGCCTTCTGTTTTTTGTCTTTTGCTGGATTTGTTTGAGTTTTGTGCCTTGGTTTTTCTTCCTATATAAACCCCTATTGTTCTCATCAGAATCAAGTTTTTAAAAGAGGGGTTGTCCTAAGAGGAGTGACGTCGGTAGTAATGCCTAGAGGTAGGTCGTAATTCCGAGCACTTGAGGGAAACACGGGCTAGAGACCAACACTTAGAGGGTGTAGAGTGTGATTGCAATTGTGTGTGTTGTAAAGTTTTCGGTGAACTAAAAAACCGAATTGTGAGATGTAAACATTATTCAAGTGAGCGTAGAAAACCCGGTTGTGATAGTTGATTTCTCCCCGGGAGTGGGAAGCGGAGACGTAGGACGGAAGGTCCGAACTCCGTGATCATCCTTGTGTGTTAGAGTTTGCATTGGCGTATCATTCGTGTCTATTGCTTAGTCTATTTTATTCGCCATTGCTCATTGTTTATATTGCCTTATCATATTTGTTTTTGCTTATCCTTGCATATACCTCATTGTGTATCTCATTGTTAGGATATTGCATTGCTTATTCTTGCTCATACCACATTGTATATCTATCTTGCAAGAACAATTTGTTAATAAGTTTTAATCGGCATTAATATCTAATAAGATTAATAATAACCCTATTCATCCCCCCCCCCCAGGGTACTTTCATAAAATGCACTATGAATGACTCAGAAATTTCTATCTCAAGGGACTTGAGTTGGTGTCCCTCATTTTCATAATGTGCTCACGCATACTCTTAAAGTGGTTGAATGTTTTACTCGAAAGCATTTTCGCCAAAGCTTTATCCGAGCTAACAAATTGTTCTTTAATGGATTTCAAGTAATTTTTGGGCTTAGGGCAATTTGGAATAGAGCCTCGGATGCTTTTACTGATATGAGACTTAATATGCATCATGTGTGAATTTATTCTTACTTTATTAATAAGACTAAATAAAAATTAACATCAAGAAATAAATTATTCCACACCTATAGGCCTAGGAAAATTTTATTCTTAATATTATTTTTTAATATCTTATTCCAATTAATCCAAAACAATAATAATTTTCCTATGGGGCCAAGTTACTATTTCTTGGAATTAATTGAATCTAGATGTCATTAAACTTAATGAAGTGTGTCAATATTTATTCGACTATTCTCATGACCTAAAATGCTATGGCTACTCTTAAATCATTTGGTAATCGTTATTACTTCAAGACATCATAAATCCAGAATATTAACAAACTGTAGAACACATATGTTGCACATGCTTCATGATAAATTAAAAAAAAAAACTTAACTTTATTACTTTCAATTTAGAAAGAACTATATTTTCTTTTTCCTAAATGCATTGTAGCATGGCAAATCAATGTTATATATTAATAAAAAAAGTTCTACATAAAAACTTGAGTGCGATGATAAAAAATGCATCTGTATAATTAATCCGAAGGCATGTAGCTTTTATTAAAAGAAACTAATGTAAAACTTTATTAACAACTATGTTGACAGACCGGATTGCAGGTTTAATAAGATCTTATAACAACTTTAATATATGGCCATCCAAATATCTCAAGGGGTCGAATTAATTAACATGGTCCAAAGAAACAAACATTGGTCAACATGAACACAAGCTAGCATGAAGTTCAATTAATTTAGTTATAAACGATCTTTATAAAATTTGAATGATATATGTACTTTATGCCAGTAAGAAGTACAAATAGGATCATGACTAAAGACGAAACAAACAAAATACGCAGATTTTTCTCAAACTTTAGTTTTCTTAAACTTTAAGAACAGATTAACTAATTAACAAGATAAGAACTTTTAGAGGCATTATACTGAATTATAAATATTGTCATCATCTCGATTTTTCATTTCTCATGTTTATTGTACTACGACTTTATAGGCTAGAAAAGAACAACAAATAAACAACATGATCCGAGATCTTAAAGACTAAACAACATAGATGGAGTTAGCTCTGATACCACATGTTAGAAATTAAAATCAAAATAAATACAGAGCACGCAACGGAAATAAATTAAACTGAAAGATACCTCTAGCCACTGTTGTCTAGATAGACCTGTAACTCAAAAAAATAGACTGAAAGTAGAGATAATCTGGGTATATACATAAACAAAGAAAAAAAGTTAGATCACCATTAGAATAAGAAAAGAGAAAGAGTTTCTAGCCTATGCCTTACCGAAAAGTCTTAAATTTGATGGAGGAACTATGACTTATTTATAGGCTAGACTAGAACCCTTTTGTTGTAACTAGAATTCTTAAAAGATAAGACTTATTAATACAGTTACCATCCATCAGGGAAACTATCTAGATATAATCTTATCTAAATCCACTATAACTCTTTATAGGATAAGAATTTAAATACTATAACAAATCAAGATAATTTGTATCGAGTGGGCCAAAACTTTATCCGGATACAACAATAGTTAGTCCCAATCTTACCTAATCCCAATCTCATCTCTTGTCCAAATCCCACTACCACGGTGAAGTATACGCTGCCTAAATTCATTTGCCCGACGTACAATTTGAAGTTTATAGGCTAACATTTGCCTTAAATATTTTGCTTCCATACAGTCTGATGTAAAGTTTAGAATTTATGTGTTCAGACTTGCCTTTAGTCTCGTCCTATATATATTTTAAAGATTCAATGTGTCCATACTATCATATAAATCTTAGAATTATATGATTAAATCTACTTCGTTATTGATGTTTAAGATAGAGCAGTTATAATTAATTTTTGGATTAGAAAGTACAATAGCAAGCTAACGAGCAGCAAATAGTAGCTACTAATATTTGCATAATGTGTCATTTAAAAAGAAAATTGCATATACATCGTTAGGCCTTAACATCTTTCAATACCACGTTTGAGAACTCTCGGATCCAACCCAAACAAAAAAAAGGCCGAAAACGCAGCCCAACAAGTGCAAAACCCCAAAATCCCGGCCGGTCACACCCCCCGAATATCCATATCGCCCGAAATCACTTCTCATCGAACTAACCCTATAGAAAAAAATAGATGGATACACTCACAAAAAAAAAAAAAACGCGTCCTCTCTAGATTCTTAAAACTACAACCTTAACTTCGCATCGTCAGAGTCGACCACGCTAAAGGCAGGGAAGCTCAAGGACGGACCAGCACTCAAGCGCTCACGCACACCAAAAAGAACCCGAGCAGCCGCTGCCGCGTCGGCGGAAGAGCGGCGCGCAGCGCGAGCAGTCGGCGTTGCTCGGATGACTGACGCAACTTGCGGATGCGCTCCGATCCGCTATCTCTCGGCCAAGGATCGCCAGCGCGAGCTCGAGCGCCAGAAGCTGGGGCTTATCTCGAAAGAGCGCCAGCGAGAGCTCGATCTCGCCAAGAAAGGGAAACCTGAGCCCGATCCGGTGATTATGGGGACTCCGGGTTTGGATCTGATAACCCTAGGGTTAGTAGACGCTGACAAGATCCCTAAATACGAGCTGAATGTTGAGGATGGGAGGAGATTGGCGAAGGAGTACTCTAGGGTTTTGATGCGGAAGCATCGGGCGAGGCAGGCTGCGGAGACTACGCTGCTCAGGTTGAAGAAGGAGGCAATATCTGCGTTGCCGGAGAAGCTCAGGGAGAAGGCGTTGGTGCCGGATTTGACGCCTTTTCCGGCGAATCGGTTTATGGCGACGCTCACGCCGCCGATTGAGGGGTACATTGATAAGGTGAGGGAAGCGGCGAAGAAGTACTCAGTGAAGGAGAAGCTGAGGTGAAAGGGGGCGGCTTTTCCGGAGCTTTTGAGGTTAGGGTTCTTGGTTGCTTTCCTTCGTCTTGTTTTTGATAAATTTCAAGGTTTGGGATGTGGAGGTTTTGAATTTTTGATGTATTATTGTGCTGTCAGTGAAATGCATGTTGATCGAAATCAAGCTTGAATCGAGAATTATGTCTTTGACAGTTGGAATTACTTATTTGATAGAAATTGTGTTAAGATTAATGTTAATTTCATCAGTTTGTTTAAATTTTATTACGCGTACTCCAGTCATGGTCAATTTTGGCGTGATACTGGAAAGCTTTAATTTAAACTCTATAGAAGTATGTTCCGTGTTAAAGATTCCATGGTTCAAGTGTCTGTTGCCTGATTCTCGTTAGCTTTTCAAATAAAACTACAAATTCTCAGTGATCATAGATGGTGTAATATCCTAATTTAAATTCGGTGTCCTCTTGTTGAATATGATTGCTTCATTTCACTTAAGTTTGCTTGGTTACTTTGATCCATTTTCGGGCCTTGCTCTTGTTTGTAGATTATGGTTCTGATTAGCTTACCTATTGATTTACGAATTATTTTATGGAAAATATTCAAAGTTTCTTGAATTTTTAACTTTAGCAGCTTGAGTTCTTCCTATGCAGTTTGATCTTAAACTTTTTATTATTATTCACACCCAAATGGATATTTATAATAGATAGGAATTTAAACTTATTCCGTCCCTGTATTTATCAATATCCCAGTTTTCCTTTCATCTTTGTCAAAATCCCCATAGGTTCTAAAATTGGTCAAGATTAGGACCTGGGACCAGCTTTCTCTTGTATATGCTATGAACAGAGAGCATAATGTAAGAGATTTGATAGTTTTCTGCTCCTCAAGTTTAGCTGAATCCCTGAGTGTGGTGGAAGAGCATCTTGAAGAAACCATGAAATTTTGGATAAGGTATGGGGTATTTGGTATTAAGAAACAAGAGTTGAGAATAAAGAGAACTTGAACATGTTAGGGTTTCTTTGGAGAAGAAAGTGAAGTGATGGCTTTAAAGGAAGAGGGGATGTTTAGATTTTCAGGGAGCCATAATTGAGATAATTACTTGAACATGTGGTGGAAGAGCATCTTAAAGAAACCATGAAATTTTGGATAAGGCATGGGGGATATGGTATTAAGAAACAAGAGTTGAGAAATGAATAAAGAGAACTTGAACCTGTTAGGGTTTCTTTGGAGAAGAAAGTGAAGTTATAGCTTTAAAGGAAGAGGGGATGTTTAGATTTTCATAGAGCCATAATTGACATAATTACTTGAACATGTGGTGGAAGAGCATCTTGAAGAAACCATAAAATTTTGGATAAGGCATGGGGAATTTCCGAATTTGGATTAAGAAACAAGAGTTGAGAAATGAATAAAGAGAACTTGAACATGTTAGGGTTTCGTTGGAGAAGAAAGTGAAGTGATGGCTTTAAAAGAAGAGGGGACGTTTAGATTTTCAGAGAACCATAATTGAGATAATTACTTGATCCTTTATACAAACAAAGGGCGGAATGTCATAAATTGGTCACAAGGAACACTGGGAATATTCTGTTGATAGTTATAGTGGTAGCTATAAGTTGTATTTTGGAAAACTCCAGGGTATTAAAGCATTTAAAAAAAGTAGCAGTGAAAGTTTAAAGTTAAGGAAACTTTGTGGTGATTATGTTTATCTACCTCTAGGATATTTCCTGTCCCTACTTTGGTGGGTTCTGTATCTGCGACCCAACTTCAGAATTTATTGTGATGTTTATTGGGTTTAACTACTATAGTTTAAGGCTTTTACACTTGTTAGTTTGTGCACGTACAGATGTGCCTTGTTTGGGTATGCTCATGTATTCTCTGATCGTAATCTTTGGGGGGGAAAAGCATCTGTAACACGAGATTAGTGGATTTCATAGCAATTGCCGTCTTCCATTCATATTTCAGACTCATGTTGGAGATAAATGCTTAGTTCTGGGCATTAGCAACTTAACGTGCAGGTTCAATAGGAGAGCAATTCTTTCAATCTTATAAAAGTGAAATTAGTAGGCTATCCTCTCTTAATGCAAAAGGCTTGGATCTATGTTAAACCAGAGCTAGGCGGCTGATTTTGATTAGGACTTTGGATTGATCTATCAATTTGGATACAGTTCTTCCTTTGGTGAGTGCATTTACTATATAATATTATTTGTGCGGACCTATGTTAGTCTTCTAACATAAAGAAAATATGTGGTATGTAAAATACACATGTATGTTCTGTTCCATCAAATGATTAGAACTTTAGAAGTCATCAATAGAGAACATGAATGCGGAATTAATTTCAGATATGCATTTCAAGTATTTGTCATGGTAAAATGTATGAGATATATTTATTGAATAAAGTGGCAAAATTCGATAATGTTAACTAAATTTTGAGGTGATATTATCCAAATGAAATGTAAGGTACATTTTAGGTGGACAATCATGATTAAAAAAGTGGACTGTGAAGTTGTGAATGCTGTATATAACAAACCAAAACAATCAGGTCATGTTTAGGATTAAATAATTGGTGCTGGGAACAAGGTTGCTAGGTGCTCCAATCTTCAACACCGGTACTATTTTGTTGGAATATTATCCATTTTAGTTATATCTGTCTGAATATAACTATTCTAAAATGTTTGTATATATTATCGAAAATTGATTTGTACGTATACATAACTCATTTAATTCATCTCTAGAGTTAGATGGAGCTTCAAGTAGGAGCTCGGTATTTGTTGGTATTCTTTTAATACAGAAGCCATGCTAAAATTTCCCTTAATCCTCACCATCCCAAGCACATGGTTTTTCATAGTTGGTTTCCTTCTAGTTCTAGCTTATGGATGCAGTTGGTTCTACAGGAAAAGGTGTAGATATGAAGGATTTCCTATCTAATAGCTTCTATGTTAAGAATTTCATTCATGACAATGGCTTTCCATTTGGAGCTCGGAAGGTAAGAACCGTGATGTAGATTCACCTTAATTCAATAGTATCCTATAACTTAATGATTGCATTGTGAACACGGTTGCTCTTCCATGCAACAACGCAAGTTTTCTGTCATGGAAATTATCCATGTACACGAAAGCATTGTTATATCCCTCAATTTTCTCCATTTTAGTCATCCTTTACTGGTTGATGTTAACTCGAGTTTAAGGGATTTACTATGGACTGTTTTTTATGATGTCAGTTTCATTCAGGTTTGCTGAGTACTTAGGATCCTGGTCAACAATGGTCTGTTGTCTGGAAAACTTGCTGTTTAAGATGATGTCGCGTCAACCTAGTGTAGAGGAATGACTTAGCAATTTGTGTGCCTGACTTGCGAATGGTTTCATTGTTAAATTGGCGGTTGCTTGGCTAACATCGTTCAAGACTTCTATCACAATAAATAATTTCGTTGCTTCCAAAAAAATTACCTGACTATGAACATATGAAAGTCACAAATATCTTTGTCATGCCTGCCTTCAACTTTGATCTATGTTAATTGGTATTTGGTATATCTTCTACTTGCTCATTTCAATTTGTCCACAAAATTCTATTTCCTGTTTGTGCTTTGACCCTCTAGATAAGAACGGTGACAATGTTAGCCAGTGAGTATTAAGAG